GAGCGGGAGCGGCCTCGTGCCTCCGCCGCAGGTGAGCGCCAGGACGGCGGGCGGGGTCCAGGACGGGCGCGCTCTCCTTTGCGGCGGTCGGTCGGGGCGCGGGGTCTGTTCGGACGGCGAAGGTCTGGGCCGCCCTGACAGGGCGGTGGTGGCGGCCGGGCGGGGACCGGGGCCGAGGTCGCCCTCGAGAGGCAGAGCTGTGCGGGTCGCCGAGGTGGGGAAGGCGTTTCCTGGAAAGAGAAGCGCGTCGTAGCGGTGGGCTGGGCGGGGGTTCCGTCCGAGCCGCGGCGGGGATCGGCGAAGGTTAGGACGGCGCTGGCACCAGTGTTCCCTCAGGGAACTGAGCGTTGTCGGCGGGAAGCTGACGGGTTTGGCGCTTTGCTGGCGGAGGATGTGGCCCACACCTTCGCAGCCATCGAGACCTGCTGAACAGAGAAAACTCTTGTTTTTCTTTTCTTCTTTTTTTTGAGTTGCACCAAGGAACAAGAGCAGCAGCAGAGTATGGCAGCAGGTCACGCACGCAGGCCCCGTCCCTGAAGTGGGGGACAGGAGGGCCCCCACCTGTCTTAGCGTCTGTGCCCTCTGAATTGGTAGCTGGGCCCTTCTCCTAGTCTGAAGAAGGGAAGGGTGTTTCCTTTCCCCTGCTTTCAGCTATCCCCACCTGTAAGGAAGATGAACATGACTGCTTCTCAGTTGTGAGATCGGTGGCTACCCCCAGGGGGAGGGGGGACGTGGGGGAGACTCCTGGTGAATTTTGGGAGCAGGCCAGTTCATAAACACAAGGTGTGGGCTCCAGGTTATTGCTGTTGTTAGTTGCCATAGTTGAGGAGGTTCGGACTCAGGGCGATCCCATGTGTACAGAGTAGAACTGCTCCATGGGGCTTTCAAGGCTGTGCCCTTTTGGAAGCAGATCGCCAGGCCTTTCTTCCGAGGTGCCTCTGGGTGGGCTCAAGCCGCCAACCTTTTGGCTAGTTGTCGAACACTTAACCATTTGTGCCACTCAGGGGCTCCTGGGTTCCAGGTACTGCAGCATTTATGGGAAGTTGGCAGATACTATTAATTGCTGTTTTGGGTCCTGACAGGGTTTTTTAATTCAGATAGCAAACTATTTGGTGTAGTAGGAACAGCACCATTCTGGGAATCAGGACATGAGGTGTAGACATCATTCTGCCTCAAAGTGTGTGTACACAAGTCACAACCATTCCGGACTTCCTTCCGTGTCCCCATCCATAAAATGAGGATGTCGGGCCAGCCCATCCATAAGGCCCCTCCCAGTCTAGAATTCTGTGATTGACTGATGCCTACTCTCAGAAGTTTGGAGAATTAACTCATTTTTCAACCTTTCTGCACCTTTGATTACTATAGAATTAGCCACATATTTCCTGTGGGTGTATTCATTTGAACATTTTATTATGTTATTTTCTTCCCTGCTGTCCGCCTTAGTTGGGCAGAGAAAGGAAAGTTGGAAACAGAGGTAGAGATGCAGCTGGAAGAAGTTGGTTTGGGAGGCAGAAAGGTCCCTACTCTGGGATGAACCTAACTGCCAGGAATGTTTCCTTCCTCTGCCCCACGCACGGTGTGCCAGCCCTGTAAGCCTGCAGAGAGAATTCTTTCCTTTGCTCCAGCTGGTGGGGTCTGCAGCTGATGTGCCACCGTGGAAGAATGTGATTCCAGGATCAGGTTGTGGAAAACTTTTTTCTCAAAAACATAACCTCTAACAGTTTAGGAGCATAGTTTCCCTTCTTTGCGTGTTATGTTTGGCAAAAAAAAAAAACAAACAAAAAAAAAAAACAGTTGTAAAATCAATTGCCAAAGCTAGGGATGGGGGCGGCTTTTTTACCTACCCCTAACTATTTTGGTAAGGAGCCCTGGTGGCACAGTGGTTAAGCTCTTGGCTGCTAACTGAAAGGTCAGTGGTTAGAACCCCCCAGCTGCTCTGCGGGAGAAAGATGTGGCAGTCTGCTCCTATAAAGATTACAGCCTTAGAAACCCCATGGGGCAGTTCTGCTCTGTCCTGTTGGGTTATTGTGAGTCAAAATCTCGATGGCACACAACAACAGCAACTATTTTGGTAAGAGAGAGAGCAAGATTTACTTTTGAGATAATAGCAAGTAATACCAAACAACACTTGACAATAAAAAAACAAATGAACAATGACAGAAGAAAACCCACAGCGCGGGTAGGGATGGAAAGAGTTTTTTTTGTTAGCCATTTCTACTATTTCTTTTTAAGTGTTTGGGTATTGAGAATACGGACTGAACATCTGTGTCCTATTATGGGAAAGACACTGTGAGAGTCAGAGTATTAGATATGGCAGAGGCACTGAAGATCCTTTAGTCCAATGCCCAGAAGCCCAGAGAGGACACTATGACATATGACACATCAGGGAGGCAGAGGAGACCCGATCGTGCTGTAGAATAAGCTCAGAATTCAGTTCACCTTTGGCCATTTGTGTTGGAGGAGGGAATGTGTATGCTGCACACTCTTAATCACTCGCCGTGCAGCCAGCCTTCCTCAGGCCCTCAACTGCTCAGTTGGTTCAGGCTCTGCTGTGGCCGGTGCCCACCTCTGTCCATCTCCATTTGTTCAGTGTAAAATGAAGAGAGAGATAAGACTCAGAGTTTGCAACCATGTTCTCAGGAGCCATAGGGCTCCTAGGTGGTCCCAAGAGGCCAGCACTGGGGAGAGACAGGAATGCCCAGTGTGCAGTGGGGGCCCCAGCAGCCAGCAACCCGTTTCCCCAGCTCTAGCTGTAATCAGAGCAGTTGTGCTGTTTTTCTGTTTTATACTGCTGACCTGGGTAAGATTTTGTTTGGGGATAAGGACCCAATGATGAACAAAAAGTTTGAAAATACCAGTAATGGCTAATAGTTGTTGAGTGCTTCTTGTATCTTAGCTCATTTATTTTGTGTAAAGTTCTTAGAATTGTTGCATAGCCTATAGTAAACACTCAAGTGTTCGCTGCTGTATTATTATCATTAGCCTATACTATGAGGTAATTGTTATTTGTATCCCCATTTTATGAAAGTGAGTCACAGCGAGATTAATTTGCACAAGGTTGCCCACCTAGACTTGTCTGCTAATTAGAAGATGTGTTCTTCAGTATTATGGGTTTTGTTATTACAAAGCCATTCAAGACGACTTACTTTATGGATGAAACAGATCTTTCTGACCCACCAGAACAGTCTTTCGCCTGTTCCCACAGGTAATCCCAGGTATCACACTTGGCAGGCAGGTGAGTTTACCTGTTGAGCACCTTCTGTATTCAAGGGAGAGTATCAGAACAGTCAGTGACCCAGGGCTGGCCAATGCAAGAGAAATGATGAGGAGTGTGGGGCGCACAAATCAGGGCTTTGAACCTCTGCTGAGAATTTGCATTTCCACCCCTAGATATACTGAATCAGAATCTACAGTTTAGCAAGATCCCTAGGTGATTCTTATGTATAATAAATTTTGAGAATCACTGCTCTGCTAATAGGTCTCAGAATTGGTCCCTAACCTGCAGTATTAGCATAGCCTGGGAACTTGTTAGTAATGCAAATTCTCAGCAGGGGTTCAAACCTGAACTAACCAGTTCGAAGCCTTGCCACTAGTTCCCTTTCCCAAGGTGTGCTGAGAGTGTGAGTTTCTTCTAGAATAAGTGCCTTCAAGGCCTCTACTCTCAAGGAGCCGAACAGTGGATGGTGAGTGCCGAGATGGAGAAGGGAGCGAGTTGCTGCCGTTCTTCCACGTGCTGTTTATAATCTTAAAGAGAAATATTTTCCTTCTTTAAAAAATAGTTTGAGGGTTTAGGAAAACAAAAACCCACTGGAATTAAACACATTCACACATAGACATGCAACAGAATGCATAAAGACAATTGGTCCATAGTTGATAGATTTTTGCTGGCCTGTTTGCCTTGCTTTTTTATATTTCTACACTTATATTTCTACCACATGATTAAATACTGAATAAAATACAATTTTCTTGGTACCCTGTGTTTTATCCAAGTAGAAATTCTTGATTGGTACAAGTATTAACTTGAAAATGACTTTTTACCTGGCTCAGGTCCCAACTTAGATTTGGTTTCCTCTGGAAGGCTTTTCCTGGCTCCCTGGACTGGGCTGGGTGTCCTCCAACGTGCCTGTCGCACTCAGTACTTGTCTGTGTCACAGTATTAGTGGACATATGTATTCTCATCACGGTGCTGGACAGAGACGCTGAACATAGATAGCGTTATATAATCTCCACAGCCACAATCTCCATGACACTTAGAGCGGTTACGGAATTTGCTCAAGGTCTCCATCTAGTAAGTGGTGGCCAGGATTCAAACCCTGGCAGTGGGACTCCACCCACAACCAGATTCTTAGCCATCCACTTGTTCCTGTCTCCTGAAACAGAGTTCAGGTTTAAACTCGAGAGCACTCTGCACTTTCCAAGCCACCTCATCACACTGAGGTGTTCTGGATTTGGTCATTTTTATACCACTGTTGCTGCTGGAGATCACTCTCACAGGTCTGTGGTGCAGGAGAAGAGAGAAGGAAAAAGTTATCATTACTGAGCTAGAAAGTCTCCCTATGCATGGTTACTGTCAGAGAAGTTACTGGACTAGAAAATCCTACCAGCAAATCCCGCCTTTTCTCTTCTGCCACTTTAGCCCTCTGATGACTGTTTAGTTACTTAGAAGAACCATCCATTTTCAAAATAATTAACCATTGACGTTGTATGCACGTTTATTTGATTTGTAGTTAATTTAATGGCAGAATGTAACAGACTACCACATCTTTCTCCCGTGGAGCAGCTGGCGGGTTCAAACCGCTGACCTTTAGTTTAGCAGCTTAACCACTGTGCCACCAGGGCCCTTTTCCATAGCTGACTACTAGTGTGAAAAAATAGCAGAGGGAGTAATAATGTCTTTGAAAGTCAGTTCTCAATAGAGTCCTCTCCCAATTCAGAGAGACGTGAAATTTCACAAAACCTTCAAGAGTCTACTGTCAAAAATTTTCAGAACAGCCCCATACCCTCTCGTGTACCCACCACGGTAGAGCTGAG